CTGTCTTCCTTGGAGATCCAGGTTTTGCTTTTGTATCATAGTCTTTCACCTGAAGAACTTTCTTTAATATTTCTTATAGTGTATGTCTGCTGTTAATGAATTCTCTCATCTGTTGTTTGTCTGAAAAACTCTATTTCACTTTCATTTAGAGAGGTATTTTTGTTACGTGTAGAATTCTGAGCTGAGAATTGTTTTCTTTCATGACTGTCACTCCATTGTCTTTTGAATTACTTAGTTTGTGATCAGAAACCTACTGTAATTGTTACTTTTGTTCCTCTATATGTAATATGTTTTTGAGTTTTTTGGATCTGAGGTTTAATGTCTTTTATTATTTTTTGAAAATTCTTAGCCAGATTCTCTTCAAAATATTTCTTCTGTCTTTTTTTCTCTTCTCCTTTTGGGATTCCAGCTACACATTTGTTGAACAGTTTGATATTGCCCCACATCTTGAATACCTTGTTTCTTTTTTTTCATTCTTTTTTCTGTTTGTGTTTCAGTTTGGCTAATTTCTATTTAGTTTCAAGTTCACTGACTTTTATGCAGCCATGTCACGTTTACTGATGAGCCTGTCAGAAGAATTGTTCATCTCTATTATCATGTTCTTTACCTCTAGCATTTCCATTTGACTCTTATAGTTTCCATCTCTGTTGAAATTCAACATCTGATGATACAGGGTGTCCTCCTTTTCCATTAAAACCTTTAGCATAGCTATTTTACATTCCTTGTTTGATAAATACTACTTTGTGGTCATCTATGGGTGTGACTCTGTTGACTGCTTTCTCTCTTGGCAGTAGGTTTTTTCCCTTGCTTTTTGGTATGTCTTATAATTTTTTATTGAATGCCAAAAGTAAGGCATTCAATAAAGATAAATAGTATTTACTCCTGGAGATGGGCCTGACTCTTCTGCTAGGTTGTTAGTGTGAAGGTTAAGCTGGTTTATTCAGGGGTTGACCTGGATTTGGAATTTGTTGTTGCTGTGGTTACCATGAGTACATCACAGGCTTTAAACATGTCTAGCATTACCATGTGCTTAGAGTTGGGTTTGGGTTGCTGGAAGGTTTCCTTACTGTTTCTGCTCCACCCTCAGCTTTTGGTCTTTTCTATGTACCTTTGCCTCAGAGGGGGTCTGTCTCTTGACCTCCCCCCAGTAGAAGGCTGCTATCAGCTTGGTGGTAGGGGATAGGGTAGGTTTCTCTATTGTCCTTGTCCAGCCTCAATCTTGGGCAGGCCCTGTGTCCTGGGGTATCAGGGTGGGGTTCTCTCAGTGATCCTGTACCCCTCCAAGTAGCAGACAAATTCAACCTTGTAAATCTAACAGTCTTATGCAGGAGTTTCCTGCCCCATCCCCCAAGGTTGGAGACCTCTAATGGTCTAGGACCTCTAGTAGTCTAGGACTGTTTTTTGTTATTTTCACAGGGTTATAGAGTTTTATTCCCTACTTTTCCCCTAGCCATCACAGGTCTTCATCTGTGTCTGGGAGGGTGGGGGTAACAAGATTTTCTCCCCTTCTCCCAGTGATTTAAGGCTTTGTTTCCAAAGAGGAAAAGAATCCTGACCATGTTTTGTGGCTTTTCCACAGTGGTGGCCTCTTCCCTCACCCAAGGATCCCTGGAACTTTTGTCACTGTGGAGTTTGGGGCCCAGCACAGTGGTATGTGAATGCATTCTGGTTCACTGACATGGAAGCTCTCCAAACCTCATCCTTTTGGGTTTTTATGGAGGCTCCATTATGTAGACATAATTGATTAACTCATTGGCCATTAGTCATTGATTCAGTCTGCAGCCCCTCTTCCCTCCCTGGAAATCAGGGATTGGGACTGAAAGTTCCAACTCTGTTCTCATGGTTGGTTTCCTTGGCAGCCAGTCGCCCCATCTTTAAGGGTTTCCCAAAGTCACCTCATTAACATAAACTTACTTGTGGCTGAACACGGCTTATTATGAATAACAAGACACATTTCACCTTTATGGTTCTGGATCAGTTTCAGGAACTAAGGACAAAAGACCAAATATTATAAAAAAGATGCTCCCATTGCTCTATTGCTTAGGAAAGTCTAAGGGTTTGGGGAACTATTGAACTAGGAACCATGGACAAAGACCAAAATGTATGTTTATTATAAATCTCAATATTACAGATATATAGTGGGGTTTTTTTAAGTTATAGGTAGTATTAGTTTGCTAGGGCTACCCTAACATATACCACAGTCTGGGTGGCTTAAACAATAGACTTTTATTTTCTGTAGGCTGGAAGTCTGAAGATCAAGGTGTTGACAGGATTGTTTCTCCTGAGACCTCTCCTTGGCTTGCAGATGCTTTCTTCCAGTGTCTTCACATGACCTTCCTCAGTGCATGTCTGTGTTCTAATTCATCTTCTTATAAGGACACCAGTCATATTGGATCAGGGATCACCCTAATTACCCCATTTAACTTAATTACCTCTTTTAAGACCCTGTCTTCAAATATACTCATATCTTGAGGTACTGGGGGTTAGTATTTTAACACATTCATTCGTGAGCAGACACAGTTCAGCCCATAATGCAAAGAATTGGGGAAAAAAACGGAAATGTAGAGATCATCTAGGACAGTACTGTCCAGTAGAACTTTCTGTGATGATGAAAAGTTCTGTATCTTTGCTGTCCAGTATGGTAGCCACTAGTCATATGTGGCTGTTGAGCATATGAAATGTGCCCAAAGGGACTGAGAAGCTGAATTTTTTACTTTAATTCTGAGCAATTTAAATGTAAATGGTCACATGCAGCTAGCGGCTAACATTTGGACAATACACAAATAATGACTGAAATAATTGTGATGTAGGCTGAGTTCTCAAATTCTTAATGGACTTTGCTACATACAGATTGTAAGATAAAACCTAGAGAAATAAAAAATAAAGCACTCTCATTTTTGTTCTTTTTCCTTTTATAAAGATGGTAATCTTACTTTATAATTGTGAAATTTTCAACATGTGTGTTTTAGAAATATTCAAAATCATTTTTTCTGCTCTTTAATTTTTTTTTTTTTTGCGGTACGCGGGCCTCTCACTGCCGTGGCCTCTCCTGTCGCGGAGCACAGGCTCCGGACGCGCAGGCTCAGCGGCCATGGCTCACAGGCCCAGCCGCTCCACGGCATGTGCGATCCTCCTGGACCGGGGTACGAACCCGCGTCCCCTGCATCGGCAGGCGGACTCTCAACCACTGCGCCACCAGGGAAGCCCTGCTCTTTAATTTTTAAGAGGTTTGATATTTGCATGTATCAAGTGTTTAAATTAGTTCAGTAAGATTTTTGTTGTCAGATTGTAGAGTCCATTTAAATAAAACTAACATCTGTAGCAGAAAAATTGGTAGATGGTTTAAAAATCTATAATTCAGTTAGGGCAGGTGAATCGGTGCATGGTTTACTCAGAAAATCTGAACCTGGAAAATCATTCCACAAAAGAAGAAATGGAAAGAGCTTTCTTTTTAAGGATAGAAATGGATTGTTAAATTAATAGCTTAACTGATTGTTTGATTTTGTCCTTTCATTGTGGTTGATGAAGTTTTTTCTGTAAACTTCAGAAAATTTTTTAACTTTTCATTTAAAACTGATTTTAGACTTACAGAAAAATTGCAAAAACTGTACAGGGAATCCTCATATACCCTCATCCAGTTTGTCTTCATGTTAACATCTTACATAACCGTAATATAATTATCAAAATCAGGAAATTAACATTGATATAATGCTACTAACTAAACTACAGATCTCAGTTTTCACCAGTGTCCCTTTTCTGTTCTAGGATCCCATCCAGGATCCCACATTGCATTTCATTATTTCTTCTTAGTCTCCTCCATTCTGTTTCTCAAACTTACCTTTTTTTGACACTTTTGAATTGTGCCAATAAGTTATTTTGTAGAATATATATGATGTTTTTACAAAATTGGAATGATGGCTATGCATTTTTGGGAAGAATGCCACAGAAATGATCTTGTTATGCTGATATGTCTTCTTCCTGGTGATGAGCTCTAGAAATCTTGATGATTGAAATGATACTTTCTTTTATACAATATATATTAAGATTACTATAAAATATCAATCCACCAAAACATTTGCTCTGTGATGCAAATGACTTTTTAAAACCCAAAATGCTGATTAAAAAAGCTATTATCATCACTAGTTAATGGGATGAAGTTAGTAGAGTTTCACTAATAGGAATAAACGGTTCAATAATGAGAAAGAGAAACCATCTTTTTCTTTCAAATGAGGTAATTCTTTCTTCACTGGAAACTTAAGAAGGAATTATCAAGAGAGGGGTCTTCTCACCTAATGGAATAGTCTTTGTAATAGAAAATTATCTTGGTTGAGATACTTAACTCTGGGTAACTTATCAAGTAGAACATTAAATGAGGAAAAAGGTGATTGCTTTAGCTTTGTTCTATAAGTGACACTGGAATTCTATCAGAAGTTAAGTGTTTAGAACCAGTTTCTAGGTCTAGCCTATCACATGACCTGAATTCGATTTATTACAGCAAATTTTGTATTTGGGGCATTTAAAAATTCTGAATAAGATGACGTAAATCAACAATTTCAAAAGATATACTCTATTACATGTTCCAGACCTTATTAACATTGAAGCATCCTCATATGTTTTATATGAAGGAATGAAATTGTACTTCAGGCTTTGACGCTCTTAAAAAATAAAGTACGTTTTTAGGTTTTGTTTATAAATATTTTTCAAGATATAATGTTTATTCCTCAAAAGAGAATGGGTAGAATCTCTTCTGTAGATACTTGTATCTGTCATAAAGAAGGCAACTCTTCCATATTAAGCCTCCTACTTTGGTAGCTTTTATATTTCTTTACTTGGTAGGTTTTATTCACTAGGAACATTTCAGTTAAATATTTGTGTTTTTATTCTTTTGGGGTTGTTTTTGAAACATTCATGGATTATAAACCAAATAATAGAAGTGAGTACTGTTGTCTCTTCAATGTAACAATATTCAGCATAATGGGTAGAATTTTCTTTTATTTTAGTTCAGCAATCAGCAAACATTGGGAGGCTGAACTGGCTACCCTCAAAGGAAATAATGCCAAACTCACTGCAGCCCTGTTGGAGTCCACTGCCAATGTGAAACAATGGAAACAGCAACTTGCTGCATATCAAGAGGAAGCAGAACGTCTGCACAAACGGGTAAGTTCAGGGCTGCTATGGGTAAGGATTTATGGCTAACAGATTTTCTTGATCAGAGGAAATTTACATGTAGATTCAGCACAGGAACATCTTATGGAGATTTTTGTTGGTTATCAAAACATATATATGGTTTGTATTATATGTTTATTGGTTAAGAAAAATATTTTCTGCAGTTTAATGGGAATGAAGAATATACAGCTTTTGGAGTCCAAACACCTGATTTCAAATTCCTGTTGTGCCACTTATTAGCTGTCTGACCTTTGGTAAGTTGTTCCCCACTTTCTACTCAGTATTCTCATCTATAAAATAGGAATAATAACATAGACTCTGTAATTCCTGTGAAAATTGAGATACTGAATTGACATGTAATTCCAGAGTTAATGATAATGCTTTTATTATTTTATTTTATTGTTATTTCTTAAAGAAACAACAGTAAATTTGAAAAATACAGGTAGAAAATTCTTTATAAAAGTTGGTAACAATACAAATATGGGGCAGTAAAAGAAAAATCAGACATCGCAATACCATTAATATCAGAAGACTAAACAATTACTTAATAAAGAATTATTTTATTCAAAGCATATGCATTCACCCAGTAGGAAGCAGATGCCACTAGTTTCTGTTTTCCAGACAGCTGCCAAAGAAGTGAACCCCATAGACAAAAGGAAATGGACTTAGAGCACAGTTTGAGGAGTGTACTTAGTGGACCAGGATGACCGGGGAAGTAAGGTAGAAGTTGGAGTAGAGACTGGAGGGAGAGTAAGAACCCTGAGTAAACACCGTTCTATCCTAAGTATAAAAGTCAACTCATGAGGGGGAAAGAGGGAAGTTGTTATTTAATGAATATAGTGTTTCCATTTTGCAAGATGAATATACTTTTGCAACAATGTGAATATACTTAACGCTACTGAACTATACATTTAAAAATGGTTAAGATGATAAACTTTTACTGTGTTTTTTATTGTTTTTTGCCACAATAAGAAAAATTAACTTAGGACAACTGATTCATAATCCAAAAAACATTAATTGAGGAGCTATCCTTTTTACATATTCCCTGCCCTTGAGGAATTTTTGCTTTAAGTAGTCAATTGAATTTTAAAGAAACAAAGTATTTTTATTTACTCACATAATTATAATTTCCAGTGCTCTTCTTTCCTTCCTGTAGGTCTGAATTTCCATCAGGTACCATTTCCCTTCAGCCTGAGTAACCTCCTTTAGCATTTTTTATATATATTTATAAATATATATACATATATATTTTGTCTTTACTACAGGTTGTGTTTTCCTATTTCTTCACGTCTAGTCATTTTTGGTTGTATATTGGAAATGGTAAATGAGATGATGTTATAGAGCCCATAGATTCTGTTATCTTTCTCTGAATATTCAGTGTTGAATTTTGTTTCAGTGAGCAGCTAAATGACTTGTATAGTCATCCCTTGGTATCTGAGGGGGATTGGTTCCAGGACCCCCCCCCCCCCCACCAACCACCTCCTGGATACCAGTATCCACGAGTGCTCAAGTCCCTTATATAAAATGGCATAGTACATTCGTCCCTTTGTATCCACAGGTTTCACATCCACCGTGGGTATGGAGGGCTGACTGTACTTTGAAGTTTGGGAGGTATAGACTTATGCTTTACTAGTTGGTTTATTTCCATTTTGTTCTTAATTCTAGGGTGAATCCTTGAGTCCTGGAAAATCTTTATTTCTAAGGCATAACCCTTCTGGGGTTTCAGTGGGAAGCTTAAGGTGCTTGCTAAGACCTAATTTGGTGGGACTCTAACCTCAAAGTGTCTTCTCTGTGGTGAGCACTACCACAGCTTAGCTCTTTCAGCCTTCTAGCTTCTCTCCCATACCGCTGAACTCCCTGGATTCCTGCTTTTACATGTTCAGTTCAGAAGTCAGCCAAAGATTGAAGGGGTGTCTATATGCTTTTTAGAGGTCATTTTTTCATACAGTTCCCTGAATTTCTAGTTGCTTAATCTGTTCTGAGGCATCCCCAACTCCTCAGACGCCTTGAGAAAATAAGATCTCAGGTTTTTGCTTGAGTTCTAGTCAAGCAACTCTACCAGACTGCACAGTGCCTTCAGGCAAAAAGATGTGTAAATGTGTATCTCACCCAGTATGATGCTTTCTTTCAGTCTTTTGCCCAATTTGGTCATTCACCAGGGCCTTCTAACAGTTGATGTTTACATTTTGCCCATGATTTGCAATTGTTATCTGAGGGAAAGGTAATCCAGTAAAAGCTACTCCATCATTATCAAAACTAGAACTCCTCGTGAGGAATATACTACCTAATTGAGCAAAGAAAACTAATATATATTAAACAATAGGGAAATAATTCCCAAGATTTTTGAACAGATGTTCAGTGTTGTGGACCAGAGGTCAGGAGAGCCTTGAGCACTTGAGTAGATAGGAATGGCTTTCTAGAGAAGTGCATTCTGAGCTGAGAGTTGAGGGTTTGGTTAGTTTTGAATGGTTTTCAAAGGTAAGAGAAGACATTCTAGTTAAGTCAACAAGATGGATATGAGCATGGTTTGTTCTTAGGACAGGGAGATTTGCCTGCTTTTAGCTGAAAGTGCATAACTAGGTGTCTTGGGCAATGAGATGTTTAAGTAGTTTGTGGCTAGCTTATGGAGGACCTGAGAGTTTAGATTTGATGCTGTGAAAAAGATGAGCCATTGAAAGGCTTTTAATGGGACAGTCACACAATGAAAGATGGATATTAGCAGTTTGCAGAAGAGATAAAAATAGACAAAGGATATAATTAGGTCCACTGGCAGGTCATTGTTTTTGTTTACACCTGGATGATAAGGGTCTGCACAAGGCTATTAGAGCATGAATAGAAAGCAAGAAAGTGATATGAGAGGTAGAGTGACAGAATATGGAGGTTAATTCAATACTTGGAAAATGTGAGGGAGAGAGATTTGCTGTTTCCTTAGTAGTCTGCAATTTATTATATTCTAGTCAATCAAAATGTATGAGATCCTGACATGTGTAGAGAGCTTTGATAAGGTGTGTGTGTGTTTATGTTGACTTCTGTCTATTTTGACTGTTTTTGGATGGTATAACGTTTAGGGATAATGCCGTTCTCTGTTCTCTCAAAAAATAGCAAGTGCACATTAGAAGTTATGTTGCTCTCTGGACCCTCAGTAAATTTGTATTGAGTAGAGAACTGTTCCCTTTTGCCCTAAGAACAAATTGATGTGAAGATATTCTAGTATCAAATGATTTAAGTTGTATTTTAAGCATATCTTTTCTTCCAGATTCCTTTACATTTTAGAAATGTCTTTGAAAAATTTTTCACTTCTGCAAGGCCAGTTTTCAGAACCCATATTTAATTTGAAGGCTACAGATGGAGGGCAGATGGCTGATTTTGAATTTGTTTTCAGAAGAAATTTTTAAAGAAGACTTTTGTTACAGGGGTTCTCTACTGTCATTAATCACTTAATTTAAGTTTTCTTAACCTTTTCATGACCAAGTCTAATTATTTCCTTTGTTCTTTATCCTTAGTCCTAAATTGATTTTATTTTTAATTTTTAAATTTTATTTATTTATTTTTGGCTGCGTTGGGTCTTCGTTGCTGCGTGCAGGCTTCCTCTAGTTGCAGCAAGTGGGGGCTACTCTTCGTTGTGGTGCGCGGGCCTCTCATCGTGGTGGCTTCTCTTGTTGCGGAGCATGGGCTCTAGGTGCACGGGCTTCAGTAGTTTCAGCACACAGGCTCAGCAGTTGTGGCTCTCGGGCTCTAGAGTGCAGGCTCAGTAGTTGTGGCACAGGGGTTAGTTGCTCCATGGCATGTGGGATCTTCCCGGACCAGAGGTGAAACCTGTGTCCCCTGCATTGACAGGCGGATTCTTAACCACTGTGCCACCAGGGAAGTCCCCTAAATTGATATTTTTAACAAATCAATTCTATTCATCCTACCCTGTCAATATTTCTCAAAATTAATTTTGATATATTGATTCAAAATTCATTAGTCACCTATCAGGGACTTATATGTCTTCAGCAAGAAATCCTTTGAAATTGTCGTGTAATTTAATCTGTGTTCTCATTTAATTTTAGGTTACTGAGCTTGAATGTGTTAGTAGTCAAGCAAATGCGGTGCATACCCATAAGACAGAATTAAATCAGACAATACAAGAATTGGAAGAGACGCTGAAAGTGAAGGAAGAGGTATTTGCTACTTCTCACTTGTCTGTAATCTCACTAAAATATGTGTACAAACATTACAGTCTATGTCAGATTTAAAGGTACTTTATGCAGTTAGGTCAGGTTGTGGGGTGTTTTTAGGATGAAATTTTTCTTGAGTGATATTAAGCTTGTTCATATTTTTCCCATCCCTGTGTCTGTTATGAACTACAGTGAGGCAGTCAGACTGAGATACTGCCTCTTGACTTCTGTAATGAGAGTTGCATTCATGCGATCAACAGAAAACCATTAGAAGTTAAATGAATTTTACAAGCTGTTCTTTGTCTAGTTTCCAGTCAAAAGATTTAATATCCCAGGAAAGAATTATATCCACAAAGCTTGAAGCAACCTTAAAATGTTCAGACTGCTGTTTCTAAGCAGTGCTGTACCAAAGCAACCAAGCTGATTTGTTGCTTAAGATTATGCTGTACTAGACAACATACCCATAAAGATGAATTTACCCCTTGAAATCAGTATAAAGGAGTGTTTTTTAAGTCATCTTTTTTCTAAGGACTGGGACAATAATTTCAGGGAAAAATAAGGCCTTCTCTCTCCTTGATATAGTTAAAATATTGTTAAAGACATTGCTCTACTTTTTCTAGGAAATAGAAAGATTAAAACAAGAAATTGATAATGCCAGAGAACTACAAGAACAGAGGGACTCTTTGACTCAGAAACTACAGGTGAGCTATAATAAAATTTTTTATTCATTTCTGCATAAGTGAGAGTCATCAATCATTCTTTCACTTAGTAATGACTTTTTTTCTGCAACTCCGTTTTATAGGTTATTGGTCACTTTTCTTTTCCAGGACTTCTGATTCATGCCTGATCATTGATTTTTCAAAAATTACTTGATAACTTCATCTACATAGCTTATCATCATAGATGGTCATTTTATAAATTGTCATTAGTAAATTATTTTAGAAATGTCTACTTTTTAACATAAAAAGTACTCTGAACTTAAAGAAAATTTCTCAAATGGATTATATTCAGTTTTGGAATTCTCGTTTTTTTTTTTCACTCTGAACTAATGTATGAATTACAGCAATAGTTGTGCCCTAATGGAAATCAAGGTAGTGTTCTTTTTCTTTCCTTGCCCTAACTAATTTTACTCACTTTTCTCTGCATAAATATTATGCTTCCTGACTCTAATTCACATATACATATCCTTTTCAGTGGTAATCAGCCTTGGCTGGGGAAGATTTCTCAAAATTACAACCCAAATCTCCTGCTGCCAGCTCAGGCACTTTTCTTATACCCCATGACCTCAAGAAGGGTCAGGACCACTTCAGGGTTTGGAATAGTTATAAATGTGTGTATGAAGTGATGAATTTGGGACAAAGGGTGATAAATGGGACCTGGAAGCCTAGGATTGGAAAGAGTACCTAGATTATTATAAGAATGACCAACATTTATTGAGTGCTTATTATGTACCAGATACTGTGCTTTACTTATATTATGCATTTAATCCATAGAACAGTCATATGAGGAAACTAAGGCTTGGATAAGTTAACTTGTCCAACCTACATTTAAATGAGCGCAAATTCTGTAACAGAGACCCTTCATAAAACAGTTTCTTTATATGAAATGAGATATTTCCTTCTTTCTCTCCCATCACTGACTTTCAGCAGTCTGGGAAAAATGAAGTTGCTTGTTTTGGTCTGCCCTATTAAACAGTGTTCCTATATTTAACCATTTGTGTAGATTAGTGGTTCTCAGCTAGGGGTAGTTTTGTGCCCCAGGGGACGTTCAGCAATGTATGGAGACATTTTTGATTTTCGCAGCTAGGGTAGTGGAATTGATATTTAGTAAATTGAAGCCAAGGTTGCTACTGAACGTTGAATTATCCAGCCCAAAATTTCAAGAGTGCCAAAGTTGAGAAAATCTTGGTGTAGAATTAAAATATGAAGCATGTAATCAGGGCTGGAAGAAATGGGGGAAATGCAGGCTAGTTTTGTCTTTTGTTTTGGTTTGGCTCCCATTGTTTAATTACTTGCTTTGATACAGGCAGTTGCTAAGCACTTACATATATTAGCTCTAACTCTCACAGTAACAGGTGTGGTATCCCCATTTTCAAAGAGAAGGCAGCAGTTTAGAGGTGTTAACAAGTTTAATTAAAGCACTTAGAAAGTAGTGAAACCTAGATTTGTTTTGATTCTAAAATCTCTGTTCTTTCTGCATTACCACACTGTTTCAGCAGCCAAGCATCCAAGCCATCCCTAACAATTCTTGGGAAATTTTTTTTCAGTTATGTATACATTTACATTGTCCCAGAGAAACCAAGAAGTGATTTATTCATATCAAACTTCTAAATGTATTTCATCATTGATTGAGCAGTAATTGAATCTTACAGCTGGCACCTAGAATTGTGACTGTCAATTCTTACCTGCTCTTTCACTGAATATCAAAATTACTTATCAAAACAGCCTACCTGGAATAGGACAGGGAAACTTTCAGAAAACCTAAGGGTGAATTCTAAAAGGCCAAGCCACAGAAATAACCTGTATTTTTTCCAACTTGAAGAAAGTTCCTCCTTTATAGCCTGGCCCCTCCTACCTAAAGATCTGCTTGTCAAAAGTTCCAACACTCTTGAACCTCCATTCATAAATTCAGTCCAAAAAATTGGGATCATTAAATATTTGGAATGGTAGAGGAACTTTGAAATTGCAGTGCATGGATTTGGATTGTAGGTATGGATATGGATAAAAAATTTGTAGTTATGGGTAAATTAAAAATAGTATGATATGATTTTTCTAATTTGCAAGTGTTTTTTTCCTCAAATGTCAATGTGACATATGCTCATTGTAAAAAATTTAGAAAAATGTAATTTAGCAGGGAAAGAAACCCCATAATCCCATCATCCTAAGGCAAAGTGTTTAGAATTTTCTTCCCCCAATGTTTCTTTGGATAACTTTTTCTTTATGTGAGACATATAGATACCAATTTGTTGTCTTACTTTCCTAACAACATTTTGTCATAAGCTGAATATGTTATATGGCTGTATAGTGTTCTCCTATATAGATATACCATAATTTTCTTCCAACATTCTTACAGGGATGGTTATTTGTTTTCAATGTTAGCTATAGTAAATAATGTCATAATGAATCTTTTTACATAATCCTTTCTCATTATTTCTTTAAGATGAGCTTTTAAAGAAGAATTACTAGTTGTAAACGTTTTTAAATTACTTATGCTGAGAAATTGATGTCAGGAACAGCAGGATACCCTCTGGATATTGATCTCTTGCCATCTTTGCTGTCTGATAAGGAACAAAGGAGTAGTTTACTATTTTTTTAGTATTATCATTTTTTGATTACGAATTTTCCATATGCTTATTGTCATCTTTCTGTATCTTGAAGGCACCAAGTACATTTTCACCTTAGAGTACCTGGCGTATCCTTGCCTGGAGGTCTGAGCCCCAAGATCTTCAAATGCGCTGGTTTCTAATGTAATTTACATCTTGGCTCACATGTTAATTTCTCTGATTTCCCAATTTAAGCACTACTTTGCAGGCCGCCACGCCCCCTCCCCCAGTACTCTTTATATTACCATGTCTTATTTTCCTTGTAGCAGTCATCACCATATGAAATGATCTTGGGTTTTTTTAATTTTTAAAATATTTATTTATTTATGGCTGCCTCGGGTCGTATTTTTGGCATGCAGGATCTTTCATTGCAGCATGTGGGCTTCTATGTAGTTGTGGTGCGCGGGCTCCAGAGTGCGCAGGCTCAGTAGTTGCAGTGTATGGACTCCAGAGTGCGTGGGCTCTGTAGTTGTGGCACGTGGCTCTCTAGTTGTGGTGCACAGGCTCAGTAGTTGCAGCATGTGGGATCTTAGTTTCCTAACCAGGGATCGAACCTGCATCCCCTGCATTGGAAGGAGGATTCTCAACCACCAGGGAAGTCCCAATGATCTTGTTTTTTTAATTTATTTTTAAACTTTTTATTTTGAAGAAATTTCACACTTACAGAAAAGTTGCATGAATAAGACAAAGATTTTTCATGTACCTTTCACCCACATCCCCCAGATGTTAACATCTTTGCCATATTTGTTTCGTTTTATCATTATGGAACTCTCTCTGTATATATTCATATTTTTTTCTAAATGTTTGAGAATAACTTCCAAATATGCCATCCCTTTGCCTCTAAACACTTTAATGTATATTCTTTTTTTTCATATTTAATTTTTAAATTAATTTTATTGGAGTATAGTTGATTTACAATGTTGTGTTAGTTTCTGCTGTACAGCAGAGTGAGTCAGTTATAATATACATATCCACTCTTTTTTAGATTATTTTCCCATATAGGTCATGACAGAGTACTGAGTAGAGTTCCATGTGTTATACAGTAGGCTCTTATTATCTGTTTTATAGAGAGTAGTGTGTATATGTCAATCCCAGCCTCCCAATTTATTGCCCCCCTTTCCCCTTTGGTAACCATAAGTTTGTTTTCCACATCTGTGACTCTATTTCTGTTTTGTAAATAAGTTCATTTGTACCATTTTTTTAGATTCCACATATAAGCGATATCATATGATATTTGTCTTTCTCTGTCTGACTTCACTCAGTATGACAATCTCTTCAATGTTTTTTCTAAGAGTAGGACAGTCTCTTAGATTACCATCAAAATCAAGAAATTATCTAAAGACTTTATTCAAATTCCCATAATTGTCCTAATAATCCTCTTTATAACAAAATTTTTAAAATTGTTTTTCTGGTCCAGGCTTCATTCCAGGATCACAAGTTGTATTTAGTTGTCATGTCTATTTATTTTGTTGTTTAAATTGTCCCAGATTTGGCAAGTGGGAACCTTTTTAATCCTGCTTCTGTGTCCTTTGGATGTGACCCTATCATTTAAAGAACTTCATGTTTTAGCTCAACTAGATATTCCTAGTTGTATTTATCAGCTTCAGCCTTGAAATTAGCTATTTCTTCAAAGAAAAATTTCTTTTAGCAAAGTTTGGCGTTTAGAAACCAAGTTCTGGGCACAAGATATACCTTTTGCTATTGAGATGTCATTGTTTCTAGGCCCTATTAATGATCAGAGCTAGAAGTACACACATAGCACATTATGTCCATTACAATAGCTATATCGAAAAAAAACAAACCTGAAATCATACTCATACCTCCTGCTGCAGTCCAGTCCTATGGAGTTCATTTTAGCCTTCCCCATTTTCCTGTTAGTAACTCCTTTCCCCAATATTGTTATAAAGCAGAAACTAACACACCATTGTGAAGCAATTATACTCCAATAAAGATGTTAAATAAATAAAACACACAAAAAAGAAACCACAATATGTTTATTTGCTTGCTTAGTCCTTGAAAGCACAGAAAGTAGTTTCTAATTCATACCACTGCCAAAACAACAACAACAACAAAACCCTACTAACTAGAGATCAGTATTCTTTTTGTCCTTAGCCTGTGTTCAAAAGTTAGGTTAGTTCTTCCACTCCCCCTTTTCAATTGGTTAGTTATTCATTTGAAACACATTTATGTTCATTTGTATCTTATTATATTCCATTTTAGTTTTTTCTTCCCCATTCTTTATTTTGTATTTGTATGCATTTACAGAGCATATGAAACAATTAACATGGTTCTAAAAGTCAGAACTATTCAGGAAGATATCTTCAGGGACACGTCATCCTGTCCAATCCAGTCTACCCCCATTCTTGCCCCCCATTCCCG